GATACCAAAGGTCAATCAACCTAACCTTTGTGAAGATTATTGCAATTTGATGTATCTTTCAACAAATAGCCTCACTAAATAACAACTTATCTCTTTCAAGGGTCCTAATCTTAATTTGATGATAAGATAATTACAGCAATTTACAGCTAGGAATGTCTATTACAGTTATCTACCCTGATTAATCATAAATATTTCTTTTTAATTATTTCTACAACTGAACGCATAATTCTTGCAAAACTGATTAATATGAAGTAAGAAATTATCTTAATCATTTTCAAAACTTTGCTAAGATCAAAAAGTTACACAAAAACGTTTTCTTTATTTTTGCACTTTTCCCAAGTCAGGAGCCTCTGGCCTTTGTTAGTCTTGTATGTTTTTTAATTTTAGTTCATTTATATGTTTTGGAGTTTAGTGTGACGTCCATTTTCATTGAACTAGTACACATGTTTGTTTAGGGGCCAGCTGAAGCCTGCTTCCAGGTGCGGGATTTTCTCGCTTTGTTAAAGACCCATTGGTGGCCTTTGGCTGCTTTCTGCTCTTTGGTCGGGTTGTTCTCTCTTTGACACATTCCCATTCTCAATTTTTTTTCAGAAAGAGGCAATCCACTAATTAATAAACAGATGACAAACACTATTTGGGGGCTCTTAGACAGCCTCAAATCCCCATCCCAAGTAGTTAAATTGATCGACTGACAGCAGGTAATTTCCAGTAGCAAATATTACATGAATATTCATGACGAGCTCAGTAGTTAGATGTTGCAAACCATTTAAAATAATATAAATAAATCAAAAAAATTTAACACACAAATAAACGAAAATCCCAATAATCAAACATTTTTAAGTAACAGTACAATTTAAATGTACACAATTTGTATTCCTATTTACAGAATCCATTTTATTACAAACTATTATATAACAATATATATAACTGTTTCAAACTAATTTGATAATGGGGGGGAATTACTCTTCCTCAGCAGGAACCAATTACTGAGGTATCCATCTAATACATGCCATACACCTTTCATTGCACCATAGATAACTTTAATCATGGATATTCCACGGAGAGAACATCGTATGCTTACCACACACAAATTCATTTTGTTGTAAATTGAAATTGAGAATAATTATTTGGTGAATGTAACTAAAAAGATATCAAATGGCAAACACGGAAATTGAAAAAGCAAGAGAACAACTTTTGTAGTGCATTAAGTGTCTGAACTGTTTTAAGAAATACACCTCAGTTTGTCTTTGAAATTAGAACTAATTTTCTAACCTTTCAATTAAAGAAAGACTGTTTTCATAAGCAACAAATTTGTGTATTTTAGAAGTTATTTGAATGCCGATTTGTATGAAATTGCATATCAAATGTCCTCTGGTCAAGTAATGAAAAAGAAGGAAATACAAGACAAAATCCATACATGCACTTGAAAAAACCCAAGCAAAGAAATAGTTTTTGTTGTCGTTCCCATTTCAAAGTCAAAATGAAGCCTTCATCATGGAGCAAAATCTCACCATTCTTTAATGGACTGTATAAATGGTAGGTTGCTTTCTCAAAGGTACAATATAATTGACTGCTATTAAAGTTCACAAAATTAAAACAGAAAGGTATGCTAATTCCTCTACATCTAGCAAAAACTAACAGGACATCATACAATTCATATTTATGATATCAATTCCAGAATAAACCTATCTGCACTGTTGTTTATATAACATGAATTCTAAAGATGAATCGTCATTTTAATGGGCTACATATTTAAACTTGCATCAAACATTTTATAGATTTTCTTATAGGCAGACACAAATATTACCTTTTATAGACATAGCTTGGCTTAGTTTTGCTAAAATAGAAAACCTATAAAGATTATTTTTTTTCTGTTTTTATAGTAATAAACAGTCTTCGAACTATTAACTTTGATTGTTTACCAGAAGCCATGCTTTCGAATTGGTTTTCAATGTTTATTCAATCTGTGTGATAACACAGGGAAAGTTCGCTTTTTAAACCTAACATGCAACAATTGTCTTCGATTGGACCAAACATAGTCTTTACACATGCAACAATTGGCATAAAAGTGACCTTTAACATACCATGTCCGACAACCATAAAAAATTATGGGATAAAACAATGCAAGAAAAATGTAAGAAGGACATGAAATGAATGCATTCATGTGCTAATTACCACAAAAACTTCTGAGTCTGTCTAACTACCAAACAGTAATTACACATGTGCAACAATAAACAAAAATACAGCAATAAATCTGACAGAGGAATTATAGGTTAGCTGTGTTGATGGTTACAGAACCCTAGATTTCAGGCGATAAAATAAATGAAAGAATTGAGTCGAAGTGATGTATTACCATCAAGTTGATTATGGGGAGAAATGAGTAGTAATTTGATCAAGCATACTCGGTTGTCAAATTTGTCCTGCCTATGTAAGCACATTCAACATCGGAACATCTTAATGGATACAAAAACATTGTGAGTCACACGGATATAAAAACTGTAATTGAATTGGGAGAAACGCAACAATTGTTTGTCAAGATGAAGCTAATCACGTTAAGCTTGTGTGATATTAGCCACCGATCTAAATAACCCATACACTTATCTTGTTATCTGAATGTCAAACATTATTTGTTGCTGATTGAACCAATTTAAAATCAATAGCTGACAAGAAAACCACTCAAGATGTACATTTCGCATCTTCCTTCAATTACTGGATTACAACAAACTTGATAAAACTTAATCAGTGACAATCCATGGTTGATTATTACAGACAATTGTCATAAGCATGGGTATAATCAATGAGAAAGTGAAGTTAGACAGATACTGACTAGCAATTAATTGTTCCTCTTGTATAAGATTAATCTTAAAAGGTCGAAAAAAAAAGTTGTGCATTCCGTCTGAACAGAAATACTAAGTCTGATGCTCTGTAGAAGTTAGAATTGCCAGGCTCTCTGTATCTTAAAGAACCACTGCAACAATTCTTTGTTGGCCTTAAATTACCTGTTGCAAGGCTAAATACAAAATGTATCTGTTCTTACTATTTGACCCTTACCAATGACCTTGAAAATCAATAGGGGTCATCTCTACTCATGATAGATACTCTTACAGACAATTGTCATAAGCATGGGTTTAATCAATGAGAAAGTGAAGTTAGACAGATACTGACTAGCAATTAATTGTTCCTCTTGTATAAAATTAATCTCGAAGGTCGAAAAAAGAAAAAGTTGTGCCTCCCGTCTGATTGAAAAATTTAATCTGATGCCCTGAAGTGAAGAAGTAAGAATACCAGTTTCTCTGTATCTTAAAGAACCACTGCAACAATTCTTTGTTGGCCTCAAATGACCTTTTGCAAGGCTAAATACAAATTGTATCTGTTCTTACTATTTGACCCTTACCGTTGACCTTGAAAATCAATAGGGGTCATCTCTCCTCATGATGGAAACTCTATTTGACCCTTACCACTGACCTCAAAAATCAATGGGAGCCATCATCTCCTCTTGATAGCAACCCATCAAAATACATAATTTTGACCCAGACCTTGACCTTGATATTCAAAAGTGTCATCATTTAGCAATGATGATATTTTCTGGAAGAGCGAAGTCTGTATAGTATTGAGGAAGTGTTTTGTCACTTTTGACTTCAAACAAACAGACAGACACACAGTACTGTAAGTATATATATATATATATACCCTGAGCAACTTTTTTTCAATACTAAAAGAAAGTCATGGACAGCATATAATGAAGTTTTGCCTTGAACAGATGTGCCATTACTCAGTCTAAAAACATAAATTTAGAGAACTTAAACAATGATCCTGACAATCAAATAGTATAGTCTTTCTTACTTTTCCACACTTCTTCATGCATGCAGGTTTTTACAAAGCCCCAATGTGGGGAAGATCTGAAAGAGGAGTAAATCTTTTCAATTCATCAAAGCTAGAAAATTTTAGCAAATAAGAATTTTTTGCTGAATATGAATGAATGTTCTAGTTGACTCTATTACAGTGTTCTTTCATTTTTTTTACTGTACAATGGGCAAGATCACACCCAATAACCCCTTTGTTCTTATGGGATTGTGAAACATGGTGCAGTGTTGCAATTGAGAGATACTTAATCCTAAAACAAACTAAGTGCCCTATGTAATACATATCATATGTTCAAGATAAACTTTTAATTCTTGGGGTGAAATATTTTAATCAAATCACTGATGTGCAAAATATACTGAAAAACAATCCTATTTCAGCTTTTAATTACAATTCAATCCAAGAATCAAGCTCATTGTAGAAAACAAAATGATTTGACTTTATACTAATCAACACCTTTAAAAAAAAAATGCAAACAGGAAAGTTTCAGATATATTTAACACAAAATGCACAAAAAAAAACTAATAAAAAAGTAAAAAAAAGTTGAACAACATGCAATCAAATCCATACCCCAAAAAAATTGTTGCAAAATGTGATTTATTTGTAATTTTTATAAGGGAATGGTATTATAATTATTTTCTTCTTTTTTTGTTTTGTTTATTTCATTAATAAGTTAAAAACAGATTTTATTAAAAGTTAGTTCATAATTTCAAATTATTTCACAGACTGAAAGATAATAATTTTTAATGGAATATATTTAGACATCCCCAGGAGCAAAGTTGCCCACTTTTGTATGCATTATTCATTTCACATGGTAATGAAACTTCCCATATAAGCAAAATCACAAATCAGTTTTTAAGAGACCAAATACCACAGTACAATATATATATCTAAAGCAGTCTACATTCCTTAATGTTAGTAGACGCATAAATCTAAAATCTCAATTTTGTCGGAATGGAAATTCTAATATAGTATAACCATATCTAGGCTACAGTGGTTTAATAATCAATAGGTTATACACCGATGAATGTAATAAATTATGGCTAGTACAAACAAACGGGTATTTGACAATCTTAATACGAAGACAAACTACTTACGGCTAACGATGATGACCTATGCAACATATATATAGACTTTACCTTATTGGCTGATGACTTCTCCACGTTCATTAATCTCACAGCTTGACGTTTCAAGTCGAGGAGGCAGTTATTACACTGATCACAAATCCCTCCAGTTCTTACGTAAGCTCCCGGTTTTGCACTACGGCTTGACGGAGGAACATATTTTGGTGGTTTACCAAACACGGCTCTTCTGTTTGATAAGCTTTCTGATAAGGGTGACAAGGGTCGCGACTGATCTGGTGGAGATTTACATCTCTGGACATCTAAATGGTTGACAGGGGAAGACGGTCGACCAAAAACAAATGACTTTTGATTAATTGCCTGGTCGGACAATGGAGAAATGGTGCCTCTGATTGGATAATCCATCATAACTCTTTTTCCAATAGCATTCTGTGACAGTTCATTTTTTGCTGGAATATCGGGCGACTTATGTTTTAACGGAGTGGGAAGTTTACGAATCTTAGCTTCACCTCCAAATTTATACACAGCTGGTTCTATACTAATGCTAGCAGTATAGCTTTCTTCTTTCTGAAAAATATAATACAATGAATGCATTTAATTCTACTCATCAAATTCCTGGAAAATATAACAATCTTCAAAATTTTATCACTGCTTTTTAAATTGTGCAAGATGATATATACCAAGGGGTCAAGCAAAGTTGAAAAAAGGCAAAATAATGGTCAAAAGAAAATAACAAAAAGAAAAATAAGTGTCCACAAAATGTTATAAAGGAAAATAAAGAATGAAAAAAAAAAAAAAAAAAACTCATTCAAAGACCAGAGGAAAATTTAGTGCTCCAGTAATGTAAGCATTCTAGTTGAAAACTAAAACAGTCTATATTGGACACTGATTTTCCAGGATTTAGGAAAAATACAATAGTTTCAATCTGCATTAAACACTGCATTTCAAGACTTTGAAAATAAAATATATAAGTCTGTATTAAAAACTGCATTTCAAATTTCCAGAAAATAAAATAGTCTGTATTGAACACTGCTTTCAACTTTCTGGAATATAAAAACAGCCCTCAATGATTATAATTAAATTGACAGTACACATATCATTCTATATAACTGCTCATTAAATATATTAAATTTTTTCTCCATAACCTAGTAAGGCATCAATAATAAAACCAGCTCTCTGCCCTCAACTCAAGGCATAGTAGAACCTCTTTAAAAGAGTCCTTTAAACATGTATAAATACACCTTAAATTTTATCCCAAAATGGTCATATTCCATCTCCATATAAATTCAACAATTAATTGACAGGTCGTTCAGCACTTTTGATATTCCTTCACAAAAAAAGTTTGGTACAATATTCCTTAAACATATTCTCTATCCATGTGGCATCCAAAATATAACTCATCACCCACCTCCAATCTTTCCCCTGCAAAAGCACTTTTAAACTCCTTCACAGTCACGAGGGATAGAGAGAATACTTCCTCTTCATAAAGAGTCTTATTACCTTGTCAAAGGATCCCCTATATCTGTTTGTTTTTGTTACAACATCCTTTAATTAGTGACAAGATAAAATTCCTCTCTCCTTGTAGATAGATATACTTATCTGAGCCAGAGACAGGAAATTTCAATAGAGTCTGTATTTAAAAATGAAACAGGTAATTTAAAACAATGAACAGAAATGGCAAATGTTTCTAAACAAAAGTTGGCAAAGTATGCACTTATGAATGACTTATGAAAATTTTTTACAGCAGGTGTTCTGCAAAATTTTCCCATCATGAAGCTACGAAGATCGGAGGTGCAGACAAGTTATTAAATTATGAAAGTTATCTGATGTTCAAACACTGCTCAAAGTGGTTCTTAAATGGTTCTTTTTCATGTTAAAAAGTGCATAACAAAAGATCTTAGTATGCGTTCAAATGACTAATTTGACATAATGTATTAAAAGAACAAACTTATTCGGCTAATTCATAGGTAATAAGATTATGTAAGAAATGTATTGAATATCACGGTAACAATCAAAGTTAAAGTTCCGAATAATCTAAATCAATTAAATCCTTAACAAAATATTCCAGGTATGTATTAACGATAACACTGACAGATCTCATCAACCCTAGGTAATGTAAGGGCATGTGTAATGTCCACTGACCTCAGATGTAAAATTTGGACCATGCAATGACTTTTACTGACCCTCTACATTTCGGCAAGAGTTCATTTAGTTTTGTTTATAGAATCAGATTTATATAAAAAATACAAGAATGTGAAGGACCCTAGTTAGAAACTATGAATCCAGTAACATTTTGTCACTTTTTGGTCTAGTGTCATGATAAATAAACTTGGACTAAATTTTGGACTTCCTCTGATAATTCTATCTAATGTATTCTTCTTCAGAACCCTGTTTTCTTATCTATTTCACTCTGATTGCATAGTATTTTTAGAATAGTTGTGGATATTTTCAAAGCATAAGAATGAAATAGCCAAATAATCAGGTCAGTCATCACATCACCATATACTGTAAACATTGAAACATTGTTAAGTCAAATACATCAGAAACTATTAAAAGTTTAACATTTCAAACCCCCCCCCCCCCCCCACACTTTTTCACCCTTAATGTTGTTTCTTCATTCTTATATACTGCATGACTTATGAGTATTCCTTTTCCTATTCAGAAGCTCATTAGAGAAGTTCTTATAAATAGGCTTTCATTCGGTGCTCAACTTCACTGCTTATCATTTTCATAGATGTAAGACTCTACAGACTGTAACTTTCTTTGGGATTTTACATAAACTGTTAACACAGAGATATGTCTCGCCATTTTGTACTTTTGATAATGCAAACGTTGAAATTAAAATAGCAATACTTTAACATGTAAGTTATTCAAATATTCAAAGTCAATGAACCATGACTGAAGGTACAGGGCTAAAAAATCTCCATGGAAATGAGATGTGCCAATGCAAATACAACTGCAAACCAAATACCATTGACTTTTCATAAGTCTTTCCCTTAGCTTTAAACAAATCTAAACACAAACATTAACTTGTAAACTATGTAAAAGTTTCAAAGTCAATGAACCATAATGAGGGGGTGGGGTTATATAATCTCCTTGGAAATGAAACTTGCAAATGCCAATATATTTGCATACCGAATATCATTGACTTGACATTAGTGGTTCATCTTAAACTGACCTAATCAAAAACTTATGTAAACTAAGCAAAAGTTTCAAAGTCAATAGACCATGACTGAGGGGCAAGAACCAAATATTCTCCATGGAAATGAGATGTGCTAATGCTTATACAACTGCATACCAATTATCATTGACCTACCACTAACGGTTCCCCTTAAACTGACCTATTCACAAACTAATACATGAAAACTAAGCAAAAGTTTCTAAGTCAATAGACCATGAATCAGGGGGCAGGGCCAAATAATCTCCATGGAAATGAGATATGACAATACTTGTACAACTGCATATCAAATATCATTGACCTACCACTAGTGGTTCCCCATAAACTGACCTAATCACAAACTAATACATGTAAACTAAGCAAAGTTTCAAAGTCAATAGACCTTGACTGAGGGGGCGGGGCCAAATAATCTCCATGGTAATGAGATGTGCCAATGCTAATACAACTGCATACCAAATATCATTGACCTACCACTTGTGGTTCACCATGAACTAGACCTAATCAAAACTAATACATTGTTGACGCCGCCGCCGTCGCTGGAAACAGCATACCTATGTCTCGCTTTTTGACTCTGTCAAGGCAAGACAAAAACCTGATGTGAAATTTTATAAAATATCTTTTGCACTTAACAATTAACAGAAGACTAATTTTTTTCTTTTCTTGTAGACAAACTTTCATTTTGTCAAATTTTTTTTAAGTTGTGTTTACATTTGGTTTTACTTATAGTAAGATTAATACATCAACAGTTTATTGTAAAGTATATCTAAAGCCCAAAGTTTTGATGGTCAAAAACAAGAAAAGTTATAAAACTATATTCTTCAGTATCCATTCATTGCCATGTTGACAGACATACTGAGCAAAAAGTTCAAAACACAAAGCATTAAAATTTTTTAAAAATCTGCAAAAACGGTATTACATAATTATCAAAATGCGTTTTTGACAACAAAATGATCAAATTATGACAGAGATATCCACGAATCTGGCATATTAATAACTAGTTACTCAATAATTCTTATTAATTTCTACCCTATAATGGTTCTATAAATAATATAATGATATTAACATGCCATTCAATCTATTTTAATGATCATTTTGACACTATTAAGCACTGTTATAATAGAGATACGCATAGAAGATCTCATTATATTGAATTTATTATCAGCCCATAAGTACTCTACAGAAAATGCATATTTACAATGATTATTGTACTATCTCTTAAAACGAAAGCCAGATGCATAACAACCTCTTTTTTTTCCTAGAAGGGAGGAATTTAATTCAAATTGACCTTTGAACACAAACTACTAATTTGACCACTGGTAATAATTCTAGATTAATCTATAAAGTTTTCTCAATTCTAGATTAATCTATAAAGTTTTCTCAATTCTAGATTAATCTATAAAGTTTTCTCAATTCTAGATTAATCTATAAAGTTTTCTCAATTATAAATTTTAACAATTCATGAAGTGATAAGAATATGTGTCCAAACGACCGAAAATATGGCCCACTCACACTTTTATATTTTCAAGTTCAGTAAACTGCAAATTTAAGTCGAAGTTCTAATTTGGCATATATTTCAAAAAGTTCATGTCATAAGAAATGTGTGTACTCAACCAACACACATGTCAGAAAACATTTATGAAGGTGTTTATAAACTGTCTTTTTTTCATAAAAGAAATAGTTGTGATAAATTTTTTTCTGATGAAGATTTACCATATCCATTTACATTGCAGTATTTCTGTTATACAATCAGTCTTCCTGCTATGTCATTTGAATATTACTTCGGTAAGTGTGGTACAAGATATTTCTGTTAATGAAAAAGGAAATGATTTGTATAATCATGAGAGGAAAGTGTATTATCTCCTTGTCTGAAGGAGACTGGCCTATATCCTCTTCAGATTTAAATTAATTCTGTATGGGACTCTCTTATAGCAGATTATATTCTTAAAAGTGACATTTTTATTTTTTTATCCCTCTTAGCAAAATACATTAACCTAAGTCCTCGTAGGTGGTAAAAATGATTGAAAAACACAATGCAAAGTATTTCAAGAACTGCATGCTGTCATGAAGACAAATAGGTTACATTTTTTTTATATATAGATAAATGTTGAAATACACATGGTACAATAACAAAATGTTTACGTTTTTTTTTTCTCTTTCTGCAATTTTTCTTTTTTCTAGTTGGCAGATTCCTATAAACATTGGTATTAAAAGAATTTTGAATTCAGCAAAAAAAACTACAATAGGATGGATGAAGGGAATCTTATATAAAATCTTTCAAAATATCTTTTACCTATTATTACAATGGATAAATATGTTACACAAACATTAATGTTTTTCTTTCTAAAATTGCTAGAATATCTATGAAAACCATAATAAAGTATAGGTAGAT